TCGGCGTTGGCGACAGACCCAGCGTAAGAGATACTGGATCCGTCGATGCCGCGAGTGGAGTCGTCGATGGCGGGGAGACTCCGAGATCCAACCTTGTGGCAGCATTCATAAGGTCACTTCTCCAGTTGGGCCTTGAATTCGAGGCTATTGACACTGCGGATTGTACCTGGGACCGAAGTACATCGTTCTCCCATTGAAGAAGGGCCATCCTCTCCGCCATCTCACGCCGAATCTCCTCTCGGACTATCTCTAATTGTTGATGGAATTCAATTAACAGCTGATTTGTTCCTTCCATGTTTGAACTCTTTCTTGCACGAGCCCCGCGGTGGGCGCCAAATTGTTTAAGCAAAATATTGATAAGCTAAAAATAATTAAAAAGGAATTTGTATAAAGAAAGGGCTTCGAACAAGAATAGAGAAGGAGATGACAAGAGAGTGAATAAGAATGAAAACTTGTGTGTTATTCGAATGTTTTAGCTGCTTTGATTACAATGAGGCTATTCTATTTATAGGAAAAGCAATTAAAGCTCTAATGATGGTTCTTTCCGTTATTGACGGATTGGCCATCCGTTACGTACCGACGGATTCAAATCCGTCATAAAGGCTGGTCAAACACATTTAATACCCTCCTTAATCACATTAAGGTGCCTAATAATGTACAAAAAACGTTACAATATTTAAAAATGATATTCTTGACGCTTCAATGACTCAATTTGTCTGTTTTGGCGGTCTGACGTAACGGTTCCGACCCGTCGTCGGTTTCGCAACTCGTCATCAATGCTGGCCAGCTCAAAATAAGTAACCTCCAGCCTTAATATCGTTGATAACTCCAGCAATAAACACAAATCCATTACAACAGCCATCATTAAGCCTCTTTAACTTTTGTGATCAACTCTCTTTAATGCAAAATATATTGCCAAATAATTGCACTAACATTACCCTCACTAGACATTTTTATATATGGTATATATTATAAATATAATATGAGAGGAGAGTGCTAAACAAAAAAAATAATGAATATATCAAAGAAATTAAAGTAAGAAGTGTTTTTGGGTGAATAATGAATAAATTACTATAACAAAAAAATAAGTGTTTTTGGAATGTGTTTGTAAATTTTGAGAAGAAATGAAGGGATTTTATAGGGGTATCAGCGTAGGAGTTCGGTGAAATACTCGAACCCCAATTAAACACCTCTAACCAACTTTTAAAAAAAGTACACAAATTTATTCAACAAAAAAAAACTACACAATACTCTAGTCGGATTCCCCAATTCCGACTAGGGGTTTTAAAAAAAAATCACAAAACTCTAGTCGGATTCCCCAATTCCGACAGGAGAAAAGCGTGAAAAATGAAACCCTAATACGCTAGTCGGATTCTCCAATTCCGACTCCCGCTTTTTGATAACCTAAATCACTTTCCCGTGTTTTGGAATGTCAGACAAGAAACTCCCGTCTTCGGGTAATTTCCTCTAACACATAAGTGAGACTACGTGAACTTCACATTCAAAATTGATGCTATTGACTATGTGATGTTTGAATCCCATGCGCACGTTACATCATATCCACTTCAATTTTACTCAAATACTCAAAATTTCGAGTCATCAAGTGTTAATGGGTTTAGCCGCTCTTAGTCCAAACTGCTCGATCCGATACGCTGAATTTAAAATACAAAAATTAAATAATTTTTGTATTTTAAAAAACAACTAATACTTAAACCTCTCAAATTTTGAGACCATAAAATTTAAGTCCAATGACACAATTATTTAAATAATAATTAAATTAAATTAAATAAGGTAATTTGTGTATATCTTTTGTGAAATAATTTTGACAGGTATATAACATAGTGAAGTCGTTGATGATAAATGTGATGATTACTATGGGTATATTATTTTATTTGATTAATTTGTTATTTAACGAGTATTAATTGTTTTTTAAAATACAAAATGAGAACCTTAGGTTAACACTTGTAACCGATCTGGTCTAATAGATGTGTGGTTTGTATATAATTTAGGTCAGGCTAGCCTGTTTAAGTATATAATTTGGTCAGATTTGATTTAGGATGTTTTCTTTTGGATTGTTTTCAATCCCAGACCAGACCAGACCAGACTGAAACAGACCAGACCAGACTTCCGTAGTTATAAAATACACAGAGATCTAACGTTTTTACCAGACTAGATCAAACCAGTTCAGACCAGGCCAGACCAAACTTAAACAGACCAGACTAGAACAACAAATTTCAGTCCAAAAGAAAACATCCTTAGTCTACTATGTGATAAATTGATGTGGGATTGAAATAAATTGAAGTAAAGACATCCTAAATACGGACTATTATAATGTTGTGATTAATTAATACCATAAATTTAGCCATGTTTAAACCTTTTTTACTAGTTGATGTGGACATTTCGCTGTTATAAGAGCATCTTCAATGATAAAATGTTAACGGTGCATACGTGGCGTAAGAAACAACCAATTAAAAATCAATAAATAGAATTTCTCTCTCCTTATTTAAAGGATCTTACATCATTTTGGTAAGTTTTTCTTCACAGTGTCAAGCACAATGTCTAGATGTAGACATTGTGGTTGACATTGCAGACACAAACTTACCAAAAATGCATAAGACTGTGGAAAGAAGGAGAGAGAAATGTCATAAAATCAATATTTTGTGTCTATCTCTCTCATGCCACATGTGCGCCGTGCACATTGTAGCATTGGAGAGAGAAATGTCATAAAATCAATATTTTGTGTCTATCTCTCTCATGCCACATGTGCGCCGTGCACATTGTAGCATTGAAGATGCTCTAAACGGAAGAACAATTAGTGTATAGAATAAGGTAGATTCTATGGTACCCTTAAGGTATCATACCTTTGTACACATGGACTAATCAGGATGATACATTTGAATGATAAAAATCTAAATTAAAAATGATATAATGGTTTGTTATTTAACGAGTATTAATTGTTTTTTAAAATACAAAATGAGAACCTTAGGTTAACACTTGTAACCGATCTGGTCTAATAGATGTGTGGTTTGTATATAATTTAGGTTAGGCTAGCCTGTTTAAGTATATAATTTGGTCAGATTTGATTTAGGATGTTTTCTTTTGGATTGTTTTCAATCCCAGACCAGACCAGACCAGACCAGACTTCCGTAGTTATAAAATACACAGAAATCAAACGTTTTACCAGGCTAGATCAGACCAGTTCAGACCAGACCAGACCAAACTTAAACAGACCAGACTAGACCAGCAAATTTCAGTCCAAAAGAAAACATCCTTAGTCTACTATGTGATAAATTGATGTGGCCATTATACTACAAAAGACCAACAAGAGTATAAATAAGATGCATGTGCTACCAACCTTACTCTGGTTTAATATTAATGACGAAATTTTAATCATAAGAATAATTTTTACTTTCATGTAGAGATGACAATTTCGGCCGACCCGTTGGATACCCGCACCGAACCGAATTGGTCAAACCGGGGAAAACCGGTTTGACTGGGGAATGGGTACGGGGCGGGGAATACCCGAATTTTTTAAATGGTTAATGGTGCGGTTATGGTTCTATACTAATCCACCCCGTTATCCGCCCCGAAACCGCCCCGTTCACTAGTGGTGCGGGTACCCGCACCGTTACCTGATCCATTACATTATTAATAAATTATAACTTTTTATATATAAGAATAATAACTATATGTGCTAAATTGTATATACTAAATAGTATATATCATATAAATAATGCTAAAAAGTATATATTAATACTTTTTAGGCCTAAAACTAAATATAGGCCTAAACCTGTTTTTGGAATTTGGATTCTGGGATGATTACTACTTTTTTATTATGTTACAAGAGATATTGGGTCCATGTCATATTAATGAATATAGGTTAGTCTGCTTGATTGCTTAAATGATTACTTTTGTATGTTTTAGGGTGCTTTAAATATATAAATAACAAGTAGGATTAAAAATTGGTTATTTGTTTTCCCAAAAAAAAGTTGGTTATTTGGTATCATTTGGGGAAACGGTTACCCGTGGGCCGTGGATAAACCGATTCCTCGTTAGGGCGGGTACGGTTCAAAAAAAAATTACCCGAACAGATAATGGGGCGGTTTTGGGGCAAACATTTATCCAACGGGGCGGTTCCGGTTTTATGTGTACCCGTCCCCGATCCGTCCCGTTGCCATCACTACTTTCAAGGATTCTACAATAATAATCCCTACTTTGGGCTGAATTCTAACTAATGCCCGTTAAATACTCTCAACGTCATTTCCATCATATGTGGTTCTCTCTAGGTTAGAACATAAGTGTTGACGAGAAGAAGAGTGGTAAAGGGAAAAGTGAAGCTAGAGACTAGGAGTATTCACTACTAGAAAATGGTTATAGTTATACTAAAATGGGGCCATGGGGGCATGTTACCATAAATTTAGTGTCTAAACATACTTGTGTCATAAGATTAGGACATTATGATATCGTGTCTAAACATACTTGTGTCTAAACGGAAGAACAATTAGTGTATAGAATAAGGTAGATTTTATGGTACCCTTAATGTACTTTACCTTTGTACACATGGACCAATCAGGATGATACAGTTGAATTATAAAACTCTAAATTAGAAATGATATAATGATTTGGACCAATCAAATGCATGGTAGGTACGGTACTCTATTTTTTAAAGGGAAAGTTCCCGAAATAGGACTAAAACAGTTTGATAATTCCAAAATAGGACTGACATGTTTTGTATTCCCAAAATAGGAGTAATTACTGTCAAGTTTGGAAAATAATGTCATGTTTGAAGTCTGGTACTGCCAAAACATAACAGTAATTAGTCCTATTTTGGGAATAAAAACATGACAGTCCTATTTTGGAATTTTCAAACTTTTTTAGTCTTATTTCGGGTAATAGCTCTTTTTTAAATAGGTGCTGGAGTTGTCACCGTGGGAGTAGACGTTTCTTTTCACTTTTCTCCAGTGTTGCTTATAAGTTACTAGTATAACCTACGGAGTATTTCCTATAATCGAAATGCAATGCACAAACCATTTTTCCTTAACACGCTCGTAAACGGAAATCAGCTTAGTTATGCCGTATCCAATAACCTTAGCCGCACCATCAGCATCAACAATATTCCCCTCCGTAATCGCGCCAGATTGTGGTCCAGCCTTCTCCCTCGCTCCGCCCAAGGTGGGCTCGGTTCTGAAACTGTCTCACTTGAAGAGCCCGAAGCACACAAATCTGGTCCTAGCTTAGACCCGTTCGCTCTCGTACACTCGATCCGAGAATGTGCCAATTTGGGTTGGTTTATGTATGGTGAGCAGCTTCATTGTCATGTTCTGAAATCTGGCTGGGCTTCCGATGTATTTGTTTCTAGTGCCATGATCAGTTTCTATGTGAAGTTTGAGGCTATCATTGATGCTCACAGGGTGTTCGTTGAAATTCCTGAACCAAGTATAGTTTCTTGGAATACTTTGATTTCTGGCTACGTGCGTTATGGGGAGCCTAGTAAAGCTCTGAGCTTGTTCTTTGAGCTAGAAAGGTCTGGACTTTGTGCGGATTCTTATACCTTTACACCTGCTTTATCAGCTTGCGGGCAGTTGAGTTTGCTACGTTTTGGAGAGTCTATACATTCCAAGATCGTGAGGCTTGGTATGGATTGTAGTGTAGTTGTTGGAAACTCTTTGATTGACATGTATGGAAAATGTGGACACCCCAACAGATCAATCAGGGTGTTCAATGGTATGATCGCTAAGGACACAATTTCCTGGAATTCAGTTATAGCAGCAAATGCTCAAAATAAGAGGCTCGAACAAGCCTTCATTTTTCTACACCAAATGCCACATCCGGATTCAATTACCTATAATGAGCTAATAAGTGGAATTGCTCAGTTTGGTGAGATCGAAGACGCAATTGCTCTCTTGTCAAGAATGCCCAACGCGAACTCATCTTCATGGAATTCTATCGTAACTTGCTATGTTAACAGAGGCAGGGGAGACCAAGCTCTAGAGTTTTTTTCTAAAATGCACTTTAGTGGCATTAGGATGGACCAATTCACATTTTCAAGCATTTTAAGTGGTACTGCTAGTGTTGCAGATATCACATGGGGAAGATTGATCCATTGTTGTACAGTGAAGAATGGGTTGAATAAAAGTGTAGTTGTTGGAAGTGCTCTTGTTGATATGTATTCTAAATGTGGGGATGTGAATAAGGCCGAGGTTCTGTTTGAGACTCTCCCTAGTAAGAATTTGGTGACTTGTAATGCTATGATATCTGGATATGCCAATAATGGCGACTCAAACAAGGTACTTCGTCTATTCGAGCGAATGAAAAAGACCTTAGATTTACAGCCAGATGGAATCACTTTCCTCAATATCTTGTCTGCTTGTTGGCACAACAAGGTACCTATGGAGGTTGCAAAGAAGTACTTTGAGTCAATGGTGAAGGACTACGGGATCACGCCCACAGCCGAGCACTGTTCATCTGTGATTAGGCTCATGGGGAGGGAAGGAGAGGTGGAAGGTGGTGAGAATATGATCAAAGAGATGGGATTTGAGAAATGTGCACTAGTTTGGAGAGCTCTATTGGGAGCTTGTGTGACTTGTGGGGATATAAAAGTTGCAGAAGTTGCAGCTGAAAAGGTGATAGGGTTGGAAGGTGAGAGTGATTATGTTTATGTATTGATGTCTAATGTTTATGCTTCTTATAAAAAGTGGAAAGATGTTAAGGGAATGAGGATGTTCATGAAAGAGAGACAGGTAATGAAAGGGTGTGGTCATAGTTGGATTGAGTCATTTAGGTCTAAAAATGTTTTTTAAACTCCGCGTATATCCACTGTCTATTATTGGCAACTTCACAAGTTTTTCCCCATCTTGCAACAGTAGCCCATGATGGGAAAGAGATGTTTACATTCAGAAGAATTTACAATCTAAAATCAGATCCTTCGGCATCTTTTAAGTCCAATGTGCAATGGAATTTGATACCAAGTGCATAAACTGCATATTATCCTAGACCCAAAACACTAAATCCTTCCACATAATAGCAATACATGGGGGAGTGGCTAAACAATGGATGGTGTGCTCTCCTTCCTAGAGAGGCCTAGGAGATGGGGATCAGGGGAGGTCTTATTCAGGCTAAGGACAAAGTTTGGGAAAGAATTGATATTAAATATGACTCTTTGTCAGCCATTGTTGGGATCGGGCAGGATGCGGGATCATCTGATTTTGGCGAGAACGTGTGGGTTAATATTCCCAATACTCCGTCGAATGTCTCGTTGTCACGGCGGCCTTCGTTGTGAAACCCAATCTTGATGTGAGCTGAGGGGTAGTGATGTTCCTCCTCGAATTCAGTCGAGGGGTACATATGATGGAATGCCCTTCCCTCAAAACATTTCCAGCCAAATATTATACGTCGTAACTTGTAAAAGTACTGTAATTGGACTTTGTCGAGAAAGCTGGATAGAAGATGCTAAAGATATTTGAGGAAAATGGTTGCATGTCAGATATTATGGTATACAGCGTACTCATTTGTGGGTTAGTGAAAAAGAACGGGATTGTAATGATGTATTACTTTTGGGGGAAATGAAAAAACTTGGACCCTCACCTGACAGTAGAACATGTCAGATTATACTCGAGCCAATCTTGCGAAATGGACCAGATTCTCCTCTGATGCATATGCTTATGAATATACAAGAAAATGACAAAAAGTCGTGATTTTAAACCTTCTCCTAGAAAGGTTTGTATTTTATTTTTGTTTGCCTATGTTCGTATTGAATGGTAAATCCTAATTTACTAATAACAAAATAAAAATGAGACCCACAAATTTAAAATTTTAGTGGAAACAACCCTATTTTTGTGTGACTTGTTCTTTATAGTCGTTTGGGCATAGCTTTCAACCAACCTCCATGATCTGATCTGTATTTCATCTTCCATATTACTATATACAAATGTCTTGAGCTAACCTGTTTTGTTGATTTCACAGTGACTGTTTGGTAACTTTTATTTATTTATTTTCTATCATATTTACTCAAGAAAGTATCTCTACAAACTAATAAGAATGAATGAGGGTTAATACCCTTTTGGGTATAAAAATTTTGTTGGTGTAACTCTATAGCATTAATAAATTGTGAATTCTGCTTAAAGGCTTAAAGCAGTGTACCATGCATGTTTTCTCTGTCCGGTACTTGCTGCTTCCGTTAATTAAAACTCAAAATGTTATCGTCGTCTTCCGTTAGTATCCTTGTACTGTGTATTTCTTTCCGTCTCGCCTTTGTTTGACTTCCAAGTTCTAATCCTATCGATCTGAATTATCGACGGTGGGCGCCCTAGTGGGAGTTGGTACCCAGACGTACTCAATCGCCCCATATTTCCCTTAGAAACATGTTTCCATCGTGTGGCAGAGGGGGTTCACTTCCAGTGCACAGCACCCTTTTCTGGGTAAGCCTTCTATCTCGTACCATCTATTTATTCACCCATTTTTGCTAACAAACAAAGTACTGTTCAAACAAAAGTATTTGATTAATTTAGGTGTTGTATGCGTGGAGTTATTCAAATTAGAGGAAGCAGGGAGAATGACATTTGATTGGCTAGAGAGAGTGAAATGGCCTATTTTCATCAATTAGGTGGTGCCTAATTTTCATCAATTAGGTGGCCTATTTTAACATATCTTTTAGCATTTTGAAAAATCCATCCGGGTATATGCTAAAGTAACTAAAGCTTGTTATTTCAACATTTTCCATCAAGACATTTAAGAATATGTATCAAGATATATGTACTGTACTCCATTTCTAGATATGAAAAATTACCGAAACAAACTATTAATATATGCCTCTCTTATTGTCTTGTTTGATTTCTTTGCTTCAGTAGAGTTGCCCCCATTTGTATACTGGAAAGATCAAAGGCATTATTCCCATGTTAAAAACATAAACTATATGTTTGGCTTTAAGGCATCTTAACAGCAATTTCTTACTTGGAATGTACAAATATGAATTACTTCTAGAGTTCTAGGTTGAGGTGGACAATAAGTGAAAGAGTTATTTCCACTTTTAGTCCTCCGACTATTATGTCATTGATACTTTTGGTACTCGACTTTGATTTTTTCCATTTTTAGTCCACGACTATTGCGCTAGAGACACTTTTGGTACCCGTCTTTGAAAGTTTCCATATCTAGTCCTTCAACTTTCATAAATTTACACTTTTGGTCCTTAAAATATTATAATAGTAACATTTTTAGTCCTCCATTTATTGTGTCTAAATCATAATGGGAGGACTAAAAGTGTCAATTTGACAATAGTCAGGAGACTAAATGTGGAAAATCTTGAAGTCGGGGACTAAAAGTGTCTCTAGCACAATAGTCGAAGACTAAAAATGGAAAAATTAGAAATCAAGTACCAAAAGTGTCAGTGACATAATAGTTGGGGGACTAAATTTTTATGTGAACTTTTTTGTGACAATAGTCAGTGACAAAAGTTCACAATAGTCCACGACCATAGTCAGTGACAAAAGTTCACAATAGTCGTGGACATCCAATATACCATGCTATATTGGACATTCTTTTCACCTATTCAGTTTGAGACTATTAATTTTTCTCTGCTATCATATTCTCATGTCTTTTGTGTGCAAGTCCTATTACCAAAAACTATTGGTTTTTCTGAACAAAAAAGAGAGTTCTACTGCAGAAAGAATGATCAGGAAAGTTTTTGACATAAAGAGCATTGCAATAATGATAAGGGTAGTGTTAATGTTCCCTATACCTTGACGTGTAGCAATTAATCAAGATTTCAGTATCGTTGCAAATGAGCTGCCCCTTTTTCTGATTCAGAATCTTTCTTTACATGTAGATTGTCGAGTTAATATATTTATTGACTCCACATGTTACCAATATTTCACCAGTATCAAACAAGTTGCATGAGTGTGCTGGCTTCAATAGGTTCTTATATGTGGACTGATTCCCTGTTATTGAACTCCAATTAGTTCTTGCTAACCAATGCCTAATTGTAAATTTGTAATGCAATCATTTTTCCAACGTTACATGCTAGGCTGGACTGCTGGGGTGTCAAATAGTCAATGGACTCTGAAGGTATAAAATTTGGAAGAAGTATGCCTATGCCAGATTGATGTATTCATAAGTTGTATACTTATGAGATTGATCTCTTTTTGATAGCATGATCTTTTTACAGAAAACACTTTTATCTTTTATCCTTTTTCATCAAAGAGATTGATTCCGAAAGTCAAACTTTCACTTGCTTTCCAACACAGTCGTGCTTAAAGTAATCCATAAAAAATCCAATTTTTGCAACTCATTTTCTTTCACAATTCCGCAACCAATTGTGTGCCTGATGCAGTATTTAAGGTGGGCTCATTGAAGTTCAGGTTGTGATAATCTTTATGCATTAAATAGATTTATAACAATGCTTTTGTCTGCTTCGTTTTGTTCAACCTAAAAGATTAGAACTCGTATGAGTCCACCATTACTTCCATGATTGGATGTAATGGTCATTATTGCTAACTACTGGTGCCTTATTTAATTTTTTAACGATCCCACCATCAAGTTTCCCTTTCCTTTATTTTCATGGTCTCTATTGCTAACAAATGGTGCATAATTTAATTTTTTGGCAGTGTCATGACAAATGTAATGTTGCTCATTATTTAAGTTCCTGCTTAATAATTAGCGTTTGAAAATTTTGAAGTTTGTTTAAATTTTTAAAACATTAAGTGCTTGTGTTATTTCAAGTTGCTGTTAGTTACCTATCAAATTCTGCACTTCTCCAGCTTGTTATTCATAACCAAAATTTGTTTCCCTATTACGAACTTCACATATTCATAATATTTACCTTTTATGTTCACTGTTTATCAGAGCTTCACGGTGATAGATTGGTTCGTGAGGTTTAAACCAGTGATAAAGTGACAGTAGAGCTTCAATGATGTTTCTGATATCAAGCAAATCAGTCAAAACTTACCATAACACTACCAGCTCTAACATAACCTATTAGCTACCCATGTCTTTCCCCATGTCTTTTCATTATTCTTGTTTTTTTATCAAATTGTTTTTACTTATAAAAACTTGACCTTTTCATGAAGTGTCATTTGACTTGATAAGAATTAATGCGATCATGGTCATGGTGTATATGATTGTGTTTACAAAGTCTAAATATAATTTAGAAAGTTAATTATATCTCATTTTCATTTTGAAATTTCCAAGTTAAAATCAAACATAAAAACTTATTTTCATTAGCATTTGTTTTTTGCTCCCTAATCATTTCGGGCATTTACCATACAGATTTCTCAGGTGGTTTGAGGTGGTTTGAGATCTGATCATCTGGATGAGAGTTTAATTTACAGTTTCTAATGAGCAGGTTCAATATCCAAGGGTTCTTATAGTTTCAGAATTTGGGACTGACAAGGACCAAGCTATACTTTATGATGGTGCAAGGACTACCTCTGGGAAGTTACTCACTGTTTTCTTTCACTTGGTACAAGTGTACAACATTTTTAAGTAGGGTTGTATGTCATTTTATTAGATTTCGAATACTCATATTGTGAACATATACTCTGCCGATGTACTTATATAAGATTTCATGAAAAAAATAAGAATTTTATTTGTGGCATTGCTATCTGACATTTTGGACTCCAAGGCAAAGGGAAGGAATATATACTTTGTGACACATTCATCGGTTGTTAAGAAGTTCAAAATGAAGCCCTATAGGTAACTACAAGAACACATGAATTATTTTGGTGAATTTATTTTTATTTTCTTGGGAGGTTAACGGCCTACTTGATTGAGGTATTTGGCTTGGTGACTATCAGAAAATGCTTTCAAAACAGGAGTTGTCTCCTAAGGAACTGAACTGCCCACATTACAAATTGTTATGTTTTTTTATTTATTTACTGAGCATGAACTCAATCGCCCAACACATGTCATGAAAATTAGTAGCTAAAATAGTTGTCATACTGTATTTATTTGTTTTCCGGGGAATATTTATTACACTGCTTATTCTTTTTGTTTTTCAATAATCACATGAAAGTTTTCACTAAAACAAGGAGGCTAGAAATTAGTCCCAAGCAAAAAAAACAATCCAAAATCCCAACAAATTAACATCTAAATTTGATTTCATCGAAAATTAGTGAGAGGCAATGTAATCAAGAAAACATTTATTTGTTTTCTGGGGAACATTTATTTGTTTTCCGAGGAACATTTATTTACTATCATATTTACTCTTACTCGAAAAAGATTTCATGTTCCTTATAATGAGAGGCCATTTAACATCGAAAATTATTAGCAAGTTTGCTTTCAATATATAAAGATAAAGATGTATGTAGGGATGGACTGGGCCGGGCCGAACCGGCCCGGAACCGGACCGGCCCGCTACTGTGCGGGCCCGGACCGGGCCGGGCCCGGTTGGCCGGTTCCGGGCTTTTAGCCCGTTTTGGCGGGTCGGGCGGGCCGGTTCCGGGCCCTGTTTTTGTTGAACCGGCCCGGGCGGTTCGGGCCGGGCCCGGTTCATTTTTTTTTTTTTTGGTTTTTTCAATTTTTTTTCTTTTCCTAGGGTAGGGCTGGGTGTTTTAGGGAGGTTTGGGGCGTGGGGGTGAGGGGGGGGGGGGTAGGGAGATAACAAGAAAGTCAAAAAAAAAAAAAAAAAAACATTGAACCGGGCCCGGCCCGGCCCGGCCCGGTTAGGCCCGGACCCGGTATCAACCCGGGCCGGTTCCGGGCCCATGTAACCCGAAAAAAAGCCCGCCCGGGCCCGGCCCGGAACCGGAACCGGCCCGGCCCGGGTCCATCCCTAGATGTATGTATGGGGACGAAGAGATATCATAATGTGTTATATATATTTATAGATATATATTATTATCTCTTATGTTGACACATTTAATAATGCAATCATTCTTTAGTATTATGCATTGGTAGCACATTTCATTTATTTATTAGACAATACTAGTATATATACTCCGTATATATTCATTGCAGAATAGCACACTACCAGGCTACCGCCGCATGCATTGATCTAGTGGCGCTGCCTGCGCCCACGGTGGTGGCTATGACGGTGTATCCTAGCGCCTCTCCAATCAGACTTCTTTGTAAAATCGCCTTCTTTAGGAAACTCCCCTTTGGCAAAGTAAAACCCATCTGTCTTCACGTTCCAATTGCAGTACCTTTCCCCGTTGCATGAAACATCATTGGCGTCGTATACGATGATGCCCTGGGCCTTTGTACCCCAACGAAAGTCACACCAGAAAAGAGTAGTCTTCCAAATATTGGGGCGGAAGTGGATTTCCCTCTCAGTATTTTGGGTCATATTCCACACCCCTAAATCATTGTTTTTAGACTTGCAATGCGCGAATACTTCTCCTGCAGAAGGCTGGACATTGTTATTTGGTGGGATCAAATCAAGAATCCTAACAACCTTTCTGTGGCCAGCACTTACCGCTCCTAACTGCATTGCTATTATAGCACAAGAGAGTAAAACCATGAAAGATGAATAAAAATATGAGTTTTTGTCAACAAAACTCATGATTATCGTATGATTTAGGCGATTCTGATTTGGGCTTATTATATACTCCGTATGAGCTTACCATGAATGTTACATGCATATTTATACACAAACTAATACACATACATACTCCGTACATGATAAAGCAGTTTAATTTGTTTCTGTATATGCTTATAGGTTGATTTGGAATTTTTTCATTCAAGGAAATATAAAATTACATGGATAAACGATACTTATTTCTTTACCTAATCCGAAGACAAATGAAATTATGTGGTATGGATTGTTTAATAATGAAATTTATTAGAGGAATTTTCTTACATATGAGCAAATGAGTTTTGAAATTCTAAAATAGAACGGAATAAGGGTCAAATTGGAGACTAGTTATACGACTAATACGAGAATTGGACATTAAGGTCTCAAATGGACCAAATTGGACATTATACTTACATGTGTATCTCAAATTAGACACTAAAATTTCATAATTCATAGTAGTTCTTAGACACTCACTTATGATTCTATTCATCTTTTAATAAAAATCGTTAATTTTATCTTTCCCTTCCTCTTTTGTATGAATAAACTTAATCTAGTTTATGTATATAATTCTGGATTATTTAATTTGAGGTACTAGAATGTATAATTTGATCTTAATTAATAAATTTTTATATTTAACAATTTAGAAATATATTTAGAAGTTGATTCAAAAAAAAATTTAGAAGTTGTCATTCATATGATTTTTATGGAACTTTGAAAAATATCGATTTGTTAAAATGGTTTAACAATATTAAAGAATTAAAGAATTCAAGCACATTATAATAGATTTTCTTAATTGTAACATCTAATTATATATTCTAAATCTAAATACATAAATTAAGTTATTTTTATTTTTAGGTAAATAAAACAAAGGGGAAAAGGAATACTTATACCTTTCAAATGTGAAATCTTTGGTGGGTGTCCAAAACTGATCAGAAAAACATTAAATTTGATCCATTTGAAACTTTAGTTTTCGATATGAGATACACATGTAACCATAGTGTCCAATTTGTAACATTCAAAATTGATGGATCTCTGACCTAGGGGGTAGACGGAATTCGAGAAAGTAGTGATACTGAAAGTGATATTTATACTAAGGAGGAAATACTTGGCCAATAAATAAGAAGATGATATTCTATTGTGGTGAGGACACGTGCATATCTTGGCTAACAAGAATAAATGTACTAGTCTAATGAAGTGGCGACATGTGTAAAGTTGATTGGAGAGAACTCTTGGATAACTAGCTGATTGATACTATGTGTAACAGAGTTGTCCTTTGTGTACCAGAATGCACAGGTACGTCACACGTGTGCTATCTGGAATATTCTTGTGTAGCAACCACCAAGGTGTCATGGCCCTTGGACAGCTGTCGCTCAAGTGATGTGGCAGCAGTCCTGTGTGGTATCTGATTGTTAAAATGTCTAAGTCCATAATCGATCAAAGATGCATGGGTTTGACTTGAGATCAAGCTTCTGTCTCAATTCCTTGGACACATGTGCAAATGCCTTGCACCCGAACACTTTCAAGTGAGAGTAAGAAACATCTCTTCTTGACCATTTCTTTTCTGGCACTTCAAAGTTTAAAGGAACAGAAGGTGACCTGTTTATAAGATAACAAGCTGTCAGCACAGCTTCACCCCAGAATGGCTTAGGTAGTTTAGCCATACTCAGCATGTAACGAACTTTCTCCATAATGGTCCGATTAATTCTTTCGGCTACACCATTGTGTTGCGGAGTTCGTGGAACCGTCTTCTCATGTCGGATTCCGTATGCAGCGCAATATGCTGAGAACTCTCGGGAAGTGTACTCTCCTCCATTGTCTGAACGTAGACACTTCAGCTTCTTCCCTGTTTCTCTTTCTACCATGGCATGAAATAATTTGAAGCGATCAAACACTTGATCCTTACTCTTCAAACAATAAGCCCATACCTTTCGTGATGCATCATCAATGAATGTCACGAAATATCTGCTTCCTCCAAGTGACTCCTCTTCAATGGGTCCGCATACATCAGAGTGTACAAGACTGAGTAACTCTGAATGTTTCTTCCTGGTAGAACTGAAGGAAACCCTGTGTTGTTTCCCGAATAGACAGTGTTCGCATGGATCTAGGGCAACACCTTTGCCCATGGAAATGACTTCCTTCTTTGCAAGAGTTGTTAATCCCTTCACGCTCAAGTGGCCTAGCCTTCGGTGCCATAAGTTTGGTGATATCTCTTCTTCAACAGCATTGAGACTCGGATGACATAACTTTGCATGAGTTTTATAAAGAGTACCACAAATATGGCCTCTTGCAACAACCAAGGAACCTTTAGATAACTTCCACATACCTTCTTTGAATCGGTTAAGATATCCTTGCTAATCCAGAGCTGTACCGGAGATGAGATTCAATCTAAGATCCGGGACGTGTCGAACATCTTTCAATACAAGTGCGCATCCGACATTGGTTGTTATGTGCATATCACCAATGCCAACAATCTTCGAGAAACTCGTGTTTCCCATCTTTACAGCTCCAAAGTCTCCTGACTTATAAGATGTGAATAAGTTCTGGTGTGGAGTAGCGTGAAATGATGCGGCTGTATCAATCACCCACTCAACATCATGAGTACCTACGTGTAAACATTCTTGTTCACCATGTGTAACAAGACACACGTCTGATGACAAACTAACCATGGTCTCACCGTCTTCTTGGCTAGTATTTTGACTCGTTTGTGGCTGCTCTCGTAGAAACTTTCTACAATCTCTTTTTCTGTGCCCATAATTACTACAGTAATTGCAATATCCTTCAAACCAAGTACTGTTTTCAAAGGACATACCTCTCTCTTGTGATCTGCCGCGAATTCGAGAATTTCCTCTGTTTTGACCTTGGCCTTTACCTCGACCTCGACTTCTTCCTCCATTTCTGCCTCCCCCTCGTCTGCTGGTTTCTGACACGAAGGCATATGATTGTTCAGTCCCAGCTTCTTTTCTTCGGGCTTCTTCATTCATAAGGGCATCTGTGACCATCTGCATAGTCACCTAGCCATTGGAAGCAGAATTGCTGAGAGTGACAACAAGAGTCTCCCAGCTGTCAGGTAGAGAGCTCAAAAGTAGTATCGCCTGCTCTTCATCTTTGAGAACCCATCCTGTGGTGTTCAACTGATTCACAAGATCCTGGAATTGACTGGTGTGTTCTGACACCAAAATACCTCCTCGTAACTTGTGGTTTACTAATCTCCTCATCAGTAACGTCTTATTTCGGGCGGTTTTTGCTTGATACATGCTACCAAACTTCTCCCATAGTGTGTAAGCACTTTGTTCTTGCGCAACATGGTGGAACACACTATGATCTATCCACTGTCGAATTTGTGCGACAGTTTTTCTATTCATTTTTGTCCATTCTTCATCCATCTTTTTATCCGGTTTCACGCCATTATTATCAAGAGGATCGGCTAAATCCCTCAAATTTAGCAAATCCTCCATCCGAGGCTTCCACATATTGTAATTTGTGGAAGTGAGCGCAATCATGGTGTCCGATGATGATTTATCCATAATAAAACGCTCAAAATATCTCGTACCTTATTTTCGGAGCCGAATTTGGACAAACGGAGCTCACCGTTGGATCCGGAATGGCCGAAAATGGTAGGAACCGGTCTGACCTCGTCCAAAACCGGTCTGGAAATGGGTGAACCGGCCCCCATAACTTCAAACCGGTTCGGTCCGGTTCAAGCAGCAAACCAGTGGGCAGACCAGCAGGCGGATGACGTGGCAACAGCTGGACTGCGCTGGCGCTGACGTGGCGATGACGTGGCACCCAGAGGATGGTTTACACGGATGACGTGGCGGTTGACATGGCACTTACGTGGACTGACGTGGCGCTGACGCGCGCTGATGTGGCGGCTGACGTGGCTCGTCTTCTTCCTCTGGACTGCGTGATGATGCAATGATGACGCAGGCAGTTTTCCGGCGCGTTGTGGCGGCGCGTACGGCCTCTTCCGGTGGCCAAAAAATTCCCCAAAAATACCAGATTTCTCGTCTCGACGAGACGAATCTAACGGTATGATCAGATCGTGATTCCGAGCAACTTTAAAAATCACGATTTTCTAACCTGTAGAAATTTATCTGAAAATGAGAAAACAGTGTATGAAAACTCAACCTCGCTCTGATACCACTTGTTGGGATTGGAAAATGCTTCTATTCAATATCAAGAACAGAATTACAATAGGAGGAGCAAACTCTCACACTCAACTATTACAAAAAACCAATCCTCACCAATACACTTCTACTCTAAGTGTATTTTCACTCTTCACACACTTTTCTCACTTTCTAAACTGATGATAATAAACAACATGGAGCACTCTATTTATAAGCTACTTTGGAGACAAGAGGAAGTTGCATCCAAGCTTCCAAGGTATCTCCATATCTTCTCCCACACCTATTTGTTGGAGAGCTCTTTCCAAGAAGGTGCCTCCATGTTAAGGTGTCTCTTGGCAACTTCCAAGAAAGAAGGTGGAAGATACCTACAACGACCTTGGTGGGGGTCGATCTCGGCCTCACTTTCGGTCTTATCCCGATAATCTGGAAGTCGAATGTTCGGACCAACCTTTGGTAGGTTGAGGTCCGCCTCGGCGGAATAGTGACTTAGTGTTTCTAGAGACTTCTGTGTTCGTGAATGTTGATACCCCTGGGTTATATGAGAATATACTTCATCAAAAACTTTAGTGTCTAATATGAGATTCACATGTAGCCATCATGTCCAATTTGACTCTTTTTCCAATTAGATCAGAACTGTTATGTTTTTCTTCCCGAATAATGAGACGCTATTGTCATGTTTGAAAAATAATTAAATGATTCAAAAATACTGTCATTAACGACAATAAATATTGTCATGTTGAATGTCTAATAATACAACTATTTGACAGTAATGATTATAAGATGTAAATTAATCAAATAATGCCATATTATTTCTATTTCGGCAAGAAAATTATAGTAGTCCTATTTCGGAAGAGCTTGGATGATGCGATACCTAATCACTTAAAATGCTAAACGAGCCAACAATTCTTTAAGTGACGAGTCATGAACTGAATCCAATTAAGTTTAGATGTCAAAATATATATACTGCCGAGACCATCTAATAAAATTAAAAAAAAATGAATTGGAAAAGGTCCGTATTATATATAGTAGCAAATATTTTCCCATGGAAAGTGCTAGAAGAAAATCATTTGAAAGATGAAACTTTAGTACTTTACACATTTATACTATAACTTTAATTGTCTCACCCTCGTACACTCAAACATATCATTCTCACGGTTAAAAAATAACTTTTTTCCATTTGAACTCATCATACCTTTGCACAAAATAATCCATTATGTCATTTGTGCTAAGAAATGATGGAAATGCTCGTTCCCATTAGTGTGGTGTTTTTCAACAAAAGCACATCATCAACATATGCATATCCTTGTGCACATGTAAGAAATATATTCATTCAAATTTCCCGTTAATAGAGTTGCATGGTGCCACGCATGTGGCTTTGCTGTTCAAACTCACATCGTCCACCTGTCATGACATATTCTAGGCTTCTAGCATCCTACTTCAGATATGAATTCAAATATAGATAGGATAATTGGAAGAGAATGAAAGAATAATTAGTTTTGATATACTCTTATTACTAAAAGACCTCTGCTAAGAAGAGTCTTATAGCTGAAATAGGGGTTACTGATATCCAAGGGGTAATGATATGAGGTCCAAGATGACTGATTCAACAATTTGGAGAAGGATCTGCTCCATTCATGATTTTGCTCAGAATTTAGTTAAGGAAAATGATCAAGGTTCACTTGAGTGGCTTCCTACGAATGAAAAAAACTTCTCTTTAGCTTCAGCTTTTAATGAGGTTAGGGAGACTCAGGCTACTACTTTTACTTCTAAACATGTTTGGAATAGGTAGCAACCTATGCAGATGAAAGTATTTTTGTGGAAGCTCCTACAGAACATTATCCCCATCACTTATGCTCTTAAGAGGTTTGGCTTTGTCGAGATGCTCCCACTGTAAAAAACACTATTATACCACCAATCACCTATTCTTTCAGTGTGATTATGGTCAAAACATTTGGAGGTATTTTATGTCAATTTTTGATATCCCCCATCCTTCCAATAACTATTCAATAGAACATGTGCTTGTAAATTGGTGGCTTGATGAGGCTGGTTGACATCTATAAGCACAACTTTTTTGGCATGACAGTCTGGCATTTGTGGAAAATTTATTCGTCCTACATGTGGGGAGATGGGTCAATTCCTTCTTCTGTGACTGCCATTATTCTAATCAAACATTATGTTTATGCCTGGTCAGCTGATCTAGCTAAATTGAAGCATAGGGACGGTGGATAAATTTTTGGCTCAAGAGGGGTTGCTTTCGGATAATTTTACATTCAAGGGTTCTCATATTCGGGTTGTAAGATGGATTCGACCTAAGTGTGACCTAAAATTGAATGTAGATGCTTCGTATGTACATGGTAAAGCTTAGGGACGGCCCTGTATGTTCGAAGGTCTAGGGGCGGAAAATGAAAATGGTTCTAATGTTACAAAAATTTGTAGAACCTTTTTCTATCTAAACTGATATGAGAGAAAAACATGGGGCATTTCATCTGGGCTATTAACTTCCCGGTTTTTGCTATGATGAGGCTGAACTGATGGCTCAGACTACATCTACGGAATGGGCTATGGCGAAAGGACTGTATGATTTCCAGGTTGAAACACATTCTTCTTCTACCCTCAGCTTCATTTCCGACAACATTTTCTCGAATGGTATCCTTCGTATTTTTCATGAACAGACAAAGCGGCGAGGGGTGTTGTTTGGACATACACTACGCGAAGAGAATGGATTAGCACATGAATTGGCTGATCCAAAACATAGCTTCCTAGATCTGCTAAGCATATTTATTATACAGATTTATATGGGTTTCTTATTTTAGATATTAATTGTTGGGAAAAGTACGAAAAGGGTACTTGTGGTTGGACCCATTTTCAGATTGGGTCATGTGTTTATTCTTTATCAAAGTGGTTTCGTTATCACAAGAGGGTCATGCCATTAAAAATGTCTAAAAAAGACCGTTAAAAGTAATACCGATTTTTCAACAGTGCCCGAAAAATTAAAAGAAAAATACCAGAAGGTGCACCTCAATATGACGACCGCTAGGACATCTTTCTTTTTTGTTTTCAGCCACCCTTGTCACCGGAAAGTCCACCGGAAAAGTGATATTAGTGAAATCATTTTTAAAAAAATAATTCAAATAAATCTGAAAAATCGAAAGGCGAAGGTGGTTCGGAGGTCATCTTGATGAGGCACACCTTTCATAAATTTTCATTTAATTTTCCGGGCACTTTTGAAAATCGGAGTTACTTTTAACGGTCTTTTTCAGATTTTTAACGTCGTGACCCTCTTGTGATAACGGAATTCAAACCCATGAACCACTTGGATAAAGAACAAAACACATGACCCTATCTGAAAACGGGCCCAACTACAAGTACTTTTTTCGTACTTTTCTCTTAATTATTTACTTGGTTTTAATGCTTTGTTGTTCATTTACTTTGGAGAGGTTTTGGCCTAATCCCCCTCTCTATTTGTACTTTCCCCACCTTTCTTAATAAAATTTGACAAATATTTCCCGACATTTGCCCCACTGATTTTGGTTGTTTGCCTATCGAGTTCAAAGAAAAAAAATGGGGGTTACATTAAATGCAGGGCGGTTTTTTTTTTTGAATGTAAACTAAAAAATCTTATTAAATAAGCATATCATTAGTCACCTGACTTACAACAAAACATAAACTGAATCATAACTACATCTATGGTCTGATAGGAACACGCCCTCGCTATCGCATGAGTAACACGATTCACCGATCGTTTACCAAAAGAGAGATTAATGTTACTCTTATTTTGAATAAAATGTCTAATATCATCAAAAAGCAGGTCAATGTATAGTATGATATTCCGTCTCCTTTAATTTTCTAATTCCTTGAACCACGATGAGTGCGTCCGATTCAACCTCAACAAAATCTCAACCTTCCTTCTCGGCCGCTAGAATAGCTTCACCAATGCCCATAGCTTCCGTTTTAGTTGGTGATCACTCTGCCTGTTGCGACTTGCCATATGCCTTGATGAATTCTCTGTGAGCGTTCCGATCGAGCAATCCAACCCCAAGCTCTTATACCACACTCATTGTTGAAAGCTACATCAACATTATCCCGACCCTCAACCAAGACAGCCTTCGTTTACATGCTTTTATTTGATTCCTATACCCCTGCTTTCTGCTATTGTCCCAACGCATCAACTCTTTCCAACAGAAAGATATTTTGTACTTACAGAAAAGTGATTACCAAATGCAAGGCAATCTTTAAATTTATGTTTTTAAAAATTAGTACAACAAAATTACTCAAATGTAAATTTCTAAAAGAAAACCAAATCAAGCATATTATAGTGATTTGCTTGAAGTTATTTCATTTAATATTGGAAAAATTTATAAAATAAAATCCATACATTTAGTGATTTTATAATAATAATCCTTACTGAAAAATTTCAATAAAAATAATTTGTAACTAGCAATCGTGTCCACAAAAATAAATTGGAGTGAATTCAAAACAATGTCCATTTAAACTTACTATTTAAATAAGGGAAAATTATTATTAGCCCTCTGAGGTTATGTCATAATTATTAATGCAACCTTGCATTTTCAAAAATCAATTAGTTACCCCCTGAGTTTTGATCATTTTCACTGTATGCCCCCTCATATTAATATTTATTTAATTTAATTTAATATAACTCTTAAATTCAATGAAAATTGTCTTTGAAATTAATTTTTAAAGTCAAACACAACGTATTATCATAATTATGAGTCATTGTTTTTCTTCTTTATTTTTCTACTTAGCTACTCGATCGTGGAATAAATATGAATCAAAGTAGTTAAGGAAGAAGAGTCTCGAGCTGAGTAATATTCATGGATAGTTGTTTGAAATATGTGTTATCAAAATTCTAGACACCTCTTCATCATCGATATAAAATATAAAAGTATTATATGTAATTCATCCGGTTGAATTAATCTCAATGACACTTCTTTAATGTGTAGCGAAGAACCAAGAAAAAATGAACTTTATCCATCCATTACCTAATAGATTGATCTAGTATTAATAAGAGACCTAAAACACCAAAATGTATCGATATAGGGTCTGGACAATTGAAAGCTATCAATCTAAGAACTAAAATATACGGAGTATATCATATATTTTGATTTATTTAATTTTTGATTAATTCTATTACTAATTTTGATGATT